TCTCTCTCTCTCTCCCTCCTCTCTCTCTCTCTCTCACTCTCTTCTCTCTCTCTCTCTCTCTCTCTCGGGTTGGTTGGTCGGTTACCGCGATCGAGGATCGATTCCGTAGCACATAATAAACCGAGCGCGCACTTTGCCCGTTTCCGCGATTCAAAGGATAGACACGGGGCGCATGTTGGCGAAACGCGGGCCGATTCTCGAGAGAGAGACCGTCTCGGTGACCAGCGGTGACCACTGCCGCTGACTCCCGCGATGCCAGTGCCAGTCTGTTTGTCTGGCCCGTGCCGTGCACCTCCTCGTCGTCGCTGCTCCTCCGCGAGGCCTCACCACCGCCTCCCAGGGCCGTACCGCTCCTCCGCCAGAGCCACGCCTCGCTCTTCGCCTTCCTCTCTGCGTTTGCCTCTTTGGATCGGCTCGCTCGCGCCTCGCCTCGTTCGCCTCCACTCGCCTCGCTTCGCCTCGCCTCGCCTCGCTTCGCTTCCACTTACCTCGCCACGGCTTTTGCCTTGCCACGCCGCTAACCACGCGTACATACTCCGATCCTTTTCCTCTTTTTCCGCGCCCTCCTCTTCGTTCTTCTTCTTCTTTTTTTTTCTTTTCCTTTTTCTTTCTTTCTTTCTTTCTTTTTAATTCCCTCGCGAAGTAAGAAGTACGTGTCGAGTCACGTTACTTTCGATCGCATTTTTACATATCTCCTCTCTTCTCGAGTTTCTTTTCTCTTGTCTCCTGTTCTTTAAATTCCCTTCGCGTCCTACACTTTGCGCGCTCTTCGTCCTTTCTCTCTCTCTCTCTTTCCTTCGTGCCATTCCCTCCATACCATTTTTCCTCGCTTCTTTATTCGTCGTCGAGTGTCACCGAATGCGTTTAACGAAGTTATCCTCCGACGACGGGTTTTTTCGGGATTGAAGAAGAAACGCTCGAATTATCGCTACCACCGCTCCCCCTCCTTAAAGTATTCAAAGTTTCGATCGAATTTGGATCCAACTTTTTGGAACATTTGGGACGAAAGGTACTCGATCGACGAAGCGGTTAACAAGCGACAGATGTCATTGCACCTAACATTGTCACCACTCGTTCGGTATTGAGTAACGGAAGGAAGGTTCGAACAGTCACGTGTGCGACGACTTGAACGACGAGAAAAGGGGAAAGTGCGCTCGCTCGATCGATCGATCGATTTTGAAACGAGCGCGTGTGCGATATCCGAGGGAGCGTGCGAGAGAAGAAGATGGTCGTGATAAGGTGAGCCGCGAAAATGAAGGATAGCCGGTGAAAATGTTTCGCTCGGATTGGTGTGGACAACACCTTGTCGCACGCTCTCGACGCGACATTCCTCGAATGTTGCATGTAACACCAGATGTTTGCAAGGTTCCGAACAGATTCGCGGACGCGTGTTACAATGTAACTCATTACGTAATGCAAGGCTGGTGTGTCGTCCGTCCACGTAGAACGTGGATAAGGCACGGGAATTCAATCTACATACATACATATGCACAAATTTTTGCAACCAAGTCGCCTCGCCGCGGCCACCGGAGAGGCATGAGACGATTGCAAATTTGAAAAATTTACTTTCACTGGGGATCGTTCGCGACCTTTTTACGCGTGCCTCGACTGTTAAAAATAAGAAAGAAGGGAGAATCGTATACGATGGAACGTAAAATAGATACGGTGAGAAAGAAATCGTCCATTTCGATTCCTCGTCTCGGATTTTCCATTCGATTTTCCTTCGAAACTTTGATCCGGATTTTATTCTTCCAGATTAAAGAAAAGAAGCGTAGACTCTATATTATCGTGTTTCTTTTTTTAAATTTATAATTTTTTTCTTTTTGAAGAACGTGATTCCGTCATTTCTTCTACGAGGTAAATAAAATAACGTTTAAATACGAACAAATGGAATACGATGAACGAGATGAAAATTGAAAAATGTAAAATGTCGAACGAGACGCGTCTCGACACATCGTTTAACTCGCCAAAAAGGACGAATCTGTTGCTTTCACCGGGCGAAATAAATTTCTTCGCTTCTCCACGTCCATACTCGCAACTTTCGGAAGTGTAACGGCTAACCGTTAAAAAAAAAAAAAAAAAAAATAAAAATCTTTCGTTCGATTCCGTTCGAACGGAGAAAGAGAAGAGCGGCGACTTGGTGTCTTTGCTCGACGACGAATTATACCTACTTTTCCTCGGTTCGCTTTTACGATCGCCATACGAGCGTAAAAAACGGACGAAGAAAACTTTCCAACCTCGTACCCGTGTGGAAAAAGGAGAAAGAAAAAAATAAAGAACAACAGGAGTGAAGGGGGAAGAAAATAAAAGGATGTTGGTCCTGTAAAATAATTTCCCATCCGACCGATCCCACTGAATTTTCGAAGACATTTGCACGTCCCTGGGTCATAGAGATAGGACCGCCCCTGCCGAAGAAGTAGGCGGCGTTCACCAGCCCTGATCGTTGGTATTACTCGGCACTCTAACGTGGTGCCGGAGATCAGGGTTAGTGAAGACACGGCGTGCGATGGCGGCCGACCGAACTCCAACATTCTTCCACTTTTTCAACCCCTTCGATCTTTATCGGATCGCCATTCGGACCAGTTTGCGCGCTTATTTCCGCCCGATAACCGGACCGATTACCACCGCTTACTACCGTGGCCAATGTTTTCAATCCGAGAAAACCCATCCTCCGTTTCCGGCCCGTGGAATGCGGCCTAGCATTGGAAAATCCCACGTGTACACGTGTAACGTGAAACGCTCGAAAAATGTAACTCGCCTCGGATAATGGACGGATATGGCAAAGAATTTGTTTACAGGCTGTTACAGGTAACAGCGGCGGGATGGTATGCAGCGGTTGACACGAAAGTTGGCCGTACGAGAAATTCCATTCGAAGACGCGCGCCTCGATGGCACGCAACCTTTACAGACACATTTATTTTTGGAAACGTGTTCCTCCTGTATCGATTTAGATAGCGTGAAAACAGAATTTGACGACAAGTGATTTATTCATTTTTACGAAACTCCAAAGTAGCTTCCTGGATTTTTCGTGTCTTGTAAATCGGAATCGAAGCTTTTTTTCTCTCCTTTTTTTCTCTCTCGAAAAATTGCCTTACGTATTTGTTACGTATATGTTGTTTTCGGTGATTTTAAAAATTGAGCAGGTTAAGATCGAATCGAATTTTACCACGCGAGAAAGATACGTGAATATTTGATACGAACGTGAAACTCGACATTTGTAATTATGTAAATAAGTGACAAGTAAATGAACAATCTGTTTGTCGTTATATATGATGTATTTCTATCTATAAAATATACGATATATCTCGTTATAACAAAATATATCACGTCAGATTATACGATTATCATAAATCGTTACGAAAGGATTTCAATGATACGTAGCTCGTAGCTATAACCGTTAAACGGTATCGACAATTTCACCAAAGTTACAACTCGTAGATATATAAAAAAATAAGAAGACATTTGCATAAATTAAAAAAAAACTGGAAAAAACTTTTTTCTTCTGGATATACTTTTATTTATGTACAAATTAACAAACGTATGCGTACGTTTTTTTTTTTTTTTTTTCTTAAATAAATTCAAACGATCGGAAAATCAATGTCGCGAATATCACGTTTTCACAAGGAATTTTTTTAATAGAACTAAACGAAAGAAAAAATAAGTCGCGTGTCATATTTATACGACCAATCGACCATAAACGTAGAAGGGATCGGGGTGGGCGGATGACGGTGAAAGCGAATCTGAGTCGATAGTATCATTAATCTGCCAATAAAGTCAACGTAAGTCTTACAATATCCAGTTTGTTGAAAAGAAATATTTGTTTACGCGACACAATTTCTTCTCTCTGATACGTATATTCGCGAACCGATGAAGCGAAATTAAAAAAAGAAAGTCCGATTTACCTTCTCTACATCTAAAAAAATGCCATTCGATTATATATATATAACATTTTCATATTATGTTTCTAATTAGATGGTTTCGGTGATGAATAATGCGCGAATAAATAGAAATCCAGATATTTTTAAACGTGAGAAATTAAGAAATTATACTTTTTTTTGTGTATTTCGAAACTATGAACATTTGCATACGCACCTTTTGCATTTTTCGAAAGATCATGATATGATCGATACGGCCAAACGAATGATATTTTGATATTTCTTCGATTATTTATTGAAAATATATAGTAAGTAAATATGATTATATTATTCGGATCGAATTAAGAACCGAATATAATACGACATAATAATTCTATCTTAACAGCGACGACACTAAAATTCTACTTGGTCGCGCAAACAACTCGGCCGGTTGCATGTGACAAGCATTAAGCACATACCAATGTTCTTCTTACAGGTGTCGGACACACGCATACCATCCGCTTATTCCGCAATGTTCGGATCTCAATTCCACGGAGATAATCCTGAAAGCATGTTTGAAGAGGAGGATGGGGATTCCATTATCGATGCATGTCGGCTCACCCAATAAAATGTTAGTAGCTTACAGCCCTGGCTCGTCATTCTGCACGTCCATGGATGGAACTCTTGGAGAAAAGCAAGAGATGCTGCAGTTTACTCTCTCTCTCTCTCTCTCGCGCCATGCTTCTCTCTTTTTCTATCTCTCTCTCGCTCTCTTTCGTCCAACACTCTTTCTCGACTGACCAACAGCAACGGAATAAATAAAGTAAATAGAGGAATATAGGAGGTAATAAAAAATGTGGCAGCAGAGGAGAGAGAGAGGAGTGTACAAGAGGAAGGGAGGGAGGTAAGAAGAAAAAGAGAGTTAAAGGAAGAGGGAGAGGAAAGGAGTGAAAGGGAGAGGGAGAGGAAGGGAGAGTGCCTTCAGGGCGAATTCCCGTCGAGCATCGGCCGCTGCAGAATCCAGAGGTGCGTTCACCGGGGAAATCCCTCCCTCGGAGATTATCCTCTTAAAAGAAAACTCGACAACTCTGCATTTTTAGCGCACCGTGTTCGACCGTGTGTCTACCAATTTACCATTGCATTTCCTCGAGCGTGTATATATATATATATATCTCTTTCCTTTCGTTCCATTTTTAGAAAACGTGGATTTGCATCAAGAAAATTTAACGATAATTTGAATTTTTCGCATCGCGAAAAATAAATGAGATCAGATTTTGATTTAAACTTCGTTAATCGATTGAATCGATTAAAATATGAGAAATAATTGTTTTCGGATTTGAAAAATTTGAATGTTATCGTTATTACAATTGGTTAAAGCGAATAATGATTGTTATAAATTCATTCAATTATTTATTTTATCGATCAGTTTTATCGATCAAGTTATAAAAGTAGTCATCATACATTAATTTTATTTGTTTTAAAGAATTCAAGAAAGACGTAACGGTCTATAATCTAATTATCGTGTAAATAAATCTTCTCAAATCTTTCTCCTTTATATTATTACACGTACACGACTTGGATGAAACATCTCGAATAAAATATCAATTACAGTCACATCAATGCAATGAAAATTGTAAATACAAAAGAAGGATCGCGATTAGTCAAATCCGTAAAATGGTATTTTTAAGCGGTCACCTATCCTAATTTGAAGGTTCGAGAAGAAGCCGAAGAGGATGAAATTGGCGATGACGAATTCAACCGCACAGAGAACCGATCGGTCGTACCGTAACGTACGACATATCTCTTCCCAGAAATCATCTTGAAGCGATCTACCAGTGAACGGTCGTCTCTCTTTCTCTGTCCCTCTACCGGTCGAGTCGAGCCGGTCCCTCGTGTGTCCCTGTTGCGTTAGTTGGCCAGGTCGGTGCCAGGGAGTCTACCGGCGATAACCAGCTGCGCGTCGTACCGGTAGACTGCCTGCTGCCTCCGGCTGCTCCGGGGACCCTGGGACCGGTTATACTTGACCCAGCGGTTTACACGCGCTTGCTGCCGTCAGCACCACCACCGCCGAGGCCGGATCGCACCGCTACCGAAACACGTACCTACATTGCCTGGACAAACTTCCAGTATACTCGGCTAGCTTGTTCTTTTTCTCTCCTTCTATTCTACCTCTTTCTTTCTCTTTCTTTCTTTTTCCCCTCTCACACAATCAACGATCTCCGTCAGACCAATACATTCTACCTTGATTCACCTTACCCCACTCTTAGCAGCTCACCCTGCTCCTCCTCTCTCTCTCTCTCTCTGCTCTCTCACTCCAATTATTTATATACGCTTATTTTTACATATGAAGAATTTAACGATTTCTTTGCGAAGTTGTTAGAGTGGACCGCCTCGAGATATATCGAATATATAAACAAAAGAAAAATTGCGGGCAATGAAATTTCCTGGATCTTGTTGAATGGAATAGAATATCGCAAATCTTGATGACGCCTTCTATTTTTAGATTCAAACCGTACGGTGGCTATTAATTGTTCGTATTTTAATTCGAAGTAAATTTTGTGATATAAATTTGTGATGTTGTGTTAATGAACACACATATACGCACATATATACGTGTGTACACAGAATTGGATATATGTAATTTAATAATATGTTTATGAAACTAGCCATCCGTAATTCATTTTTAAATTTTTAAGAATAATTTCTTATATTATTTGTAAGCATGACATAAATTACTTACAAATATTAACAAATATACGGTAATATTAACTTAAAACTATATACAAACGAATAATATGTTTTTTTATATAGTTCGTTCACTTAACATATTTTTCCATAAATTTACGATGAAATTCACTTCTTAATGAATCGTTAATGAATACATCGTGTTTCTTTTTCGGTTCGGAACGAGCACAATTTTTGAATACAACGTCATCGTCCCATCGTCGTCTGACTTTCATATCTGTTCTTCCACTCTGAGAAGAATAACTTAGTAAAGGATTTCCAGAAAGAATATTTTCCATTCTTATTCTTTCCTCTTCCTGTCGTTTCTCCATTTCCTGTAAAATAAAAGATATGAAATGAAATATTAATTATGTACATGAAAGAATAAAATTGAATTTATAGAAATATAAAATATACAAACATAAACCTTTTTACCTTTTTAGCTTGTTCCGCAGCTCTTTCTTTTTTAATACGTTGTAATTCTGCTAATAAAGCAGCAGTATCATCTTCATCGCTTTCCGACTCTGAATCATCATCATCAAGAGGATCATCTGCATCTAAACTTGCTGTAGGTACTTGATCAATTTTTTGTCTTTTAGCACTTGTTGTAGAAGTTTCTCGAGGTGGTTCTATCATACGACGGTTAGAACCTTTCTCCTTTTCTCTTTCACGTTCACGTTCTTCTAATTCTTTACGAAAATCTCGATTTCGCAATTCTTCTATTGTTCCTTGTCCATGTTCTCTGTAAATGAAATTCATTAATGTCGCAAATGTATGAGGTTAGGTTTGATTATTCATTTCAAAAGTTACAAAAAATTGTTCAAAATAAAAATAAAAATAAATACATATCACTCAAAAATAAAAAAAATAACATAATACCGATATTTCAATTTCGTGTGTGATGGTAAATCTCTGCTGCTGTATTGTTTTGATATTGCACTTAAATCTTTTTCACCGCGTCCTTGTCCGCCTCTAGCAGGTTCGAACGTAGGTCTTGCAGCCGTTGTCATTTTATTTATAAAATATTGAATATCTATCAATATAAAACTCGATTAAGTTTTCTTCTTAATACTTGTTGTTCGTTTCCAAAACAGCTGATCGTTCAACAAACTTCTAAACTTATCGAGTATTATCGACTATTTCTATTTCGCGTATGATATCGTAAATTGTATATTCTCACTAGAGGTCGTCGATGTAAACCATCAATCGATATGTCATTCGATTTTAGAAATCGCATATAAAATTTAAAACTAGTTTCAAATAAGTAACTACCACGAATATTCTGCATCTAATATTACTAATGATACGAATTATTATATAATTATTTTTATAAATTGTATATTTTACAATCTATATTATAATTTATTAATATAATTCATCAATTTTAACTTATTTTAATAATAAAAAAACAATCCTATTATTTTATTATTTTTATTATTTATTATTTTTAATCACAATGAATCAATAAATGGTATGGTATTTTTATAACGATGATACACTAATAATTATATTATTAATCCACAATAAATAATATTTTGTCAGAATAATTTAAATATAAAATAAGCTAATATATGTAAATATACTGTAAACTTATTGTCATATTAATTTATTTAATTTAATAAACAAATCATTTTGTTTTCGCAATAATTAAAATTTAATAAAACATTCAAATTATTTGATATGATTTTTAATGCAATTATTAGTTGATATTACATGTCTTTATAAATTCATTATATATGTTAACAGATAAAAACAAAATTTAAAAAGCAATTTTCTATACTATTAGTGCTCAATTTAATTTTTTATCTGTTAAACTTACAATTATACTGTATTATTATATAATTGCAACATTTATTTCATGCGCCATATTCACTTTTATTATTGAATATTATGAAATCTTTTTTTTCTTATATGTTTACATGTTTTTTTCCTTTTTATAAAAATTCATATCATTAATCACGTATTTTGTGCAATGTATTATAAACTATGGTCAGACTTATATTTAAGTTGTTATCAAAATCATCCTTTTTAACATATTGGACAGCATTCTGACTTTCATTTATTCAAATTTTTGCAACTAAAGAGGCACTATATCTCAAAACATATTTTCAAAATTCATACAATAAATTTGAAACAATTCTCATTATCCTATTTATGTAATGATCAAAAACCAAAATTTTATATATATATATATATATATACATGTATATAATGTATAAAATGAAGCAATATAACTAAGTTTTCACAATTCAATTTTAAAAAATATTTATAGTATAATTTAGGGATTTCTAATACATGTGTTATCATAATTAATATATTTAATCTTCTAATTACTATAATTATAATTTGAACATATATATATACTTGATTAAAATTTTAATGAATTTTATAATATTATTGCTTCATTTATTTATATAAAGAATTTTTTAAAACTTGTACTTGAAAAAAGAATGAATCGTTTTGAAATTTAATCAAACTTAAATTTCTACTATAAAAAATCAATATGTTATCATATATATGAAATATAATTATTTTTTAAACATAGTTTAACAACTTATAGTTTAATAAGTATAATTATTTCTATTTCTAGTAGTATTATCTACTATATTAGTTGAGACAAATAACAACATGTATTTCCAAATATTCAGACATCTGTGCAATGCTAATTTATACTATAACTAATCACTAAATGCAGTCTGAATAAAAGAAATAGAATGCCATGGCACACAAGTTTTACAACAGGCGAATATTTCATAGTTTCATAATTTTTTTTTATAACCAAATTTTATAAGCCTAGTATTTCATAATTTACATATTATAATATATAATTTCTCACTTAGCCTTTTTTTTATAATATGAGAACTGTACATCCATTTTGCAAATTCTTAAATTAATAATAAAATGTATAATAAAATTGTAATTTTGATAATAAAATATTAATGTTAAAAATCTCATAATTAAATATTCAATAATGAATAAAATATAAAAATTATTAATACATTATTATATAATTAAAATTTAATGCAAATATATATTATATAATTGCATTAAATATTAAAATGAATCATATTTTGTAATTGTATATTTGTGCGTTTATTACATATTTTATTTTTTATTTGCAATATTATATAAACAGTTTTGTACTACCAAAATTGCAAATGTGTAAAGCATATAAAAAATATGTATTCAATAAAAGAATTTTCGCACATGAGATAAATTCTAAAACATAATATTTTAATATTTTTTAAACATAATATTTTTTATATATAGTAATTACAATTGCATATACAATATAAATCGATTACATACAATAATACAATAAATTTTGTAAAAAATTTTTCGAATGATAACACAATTAACATCGGCATTGCTTTATATATAATATTCAGCGAAATTTCATTAAATAAAAAATAAAATCTGTATAAAACAAAATTTTTTCTATTAACATAATATTTTGTATATAATAAAAATAATAAGCTATTTTTCGAAATGTTAAATATTTAATTCTATATTTTATATATGTTGTAAAAATTCAAATATTCATATTCTTATTTACATTTAAAAAAAAACCATATCAAGTTAATATATAAATATGATAAAATATTATTCCCTGTTAGAAATTTATCACAAGAAAATTATATAAAGAAGATATGCATACAATATAAAACAAAAATTTGTTTAATTGTTGCTTAAAATACTTTCTTGTTAAGTACACAGTCCATAAAATTTTATTAATTAAAATGAGGAGAAATAAATATTTCACATGCATATAAATAATATATTATATAAAACCTTGTTTTTTCATTTTTAATTTAATTTTTTGAGACAAAATTTATAAAAAAAATTATACAAAAATTTAAATATTAAAATTTGTTTAAAATATTGTGATACGTGCATATGCGTATGTATAATAGATTATATTATAACCTCCTCCTTCAATTAATAATTGAATAGATGTAAAATTGCTAGCTCCATCTTCTTTACATAATACACAAACACATACACACACACACAACATATATATATATATATATAGAATAAATTATATAAATATATACAATTAAGCTCTACACATTTAACATATTTTAATATACAAATCATTGAATTCTTACGAAATATGTACATATACAGAATGCTATTAAATACTCAAATATCTTTGAAAAATCGATTCTGGATATCAGAACAAATATAAAACTTGATTTTTAAAAATATTGATTGAAGTTTATTTTTCAAGTGATTTATAAATGATTTAATTTTGATTAATTGAATCATATCGGATCATCATATTAAATTTTTATGTATCAATTTTTGTATTTTTTTAGTTTTTAGAATTTATTCTCCCATATATTCAATAACACTCTGTATATATATATATATATACATATATATATATATATATATATATATATAATAATCTCC